GGTCAACCTGTTTTTCGCACGTAGGAACAATTCATAATGTCAGATCACTCAGGATCAGTCAGTGTCATTGGTGAGTGTAACGTAATATGATATCACCGCATCATTAGCGAAATGACGAGATATTCTTTAGAGAGTGGCACAATTTAATTTTTTTCGTTGGAGAGTTGCGTCAGTATTGTGATTATTAAAATTTGTAATATTTTGGTGCCTAAAAACGCATTTATTTGTAAAAGATATATTTTAAAAGGATTATAATAGGTCAACATCAACAATCGGGATGTAATTTCTAGAAAAGTGCACTTATCCTTAGCAATGTACAATATGCCATCAATAGTGTTGCCTTCCAATAAATGCAAATTTATTAAAATAAAGCATAAATTTGGTACATAACATTCACTTGAGACTAAAAAGTCGTCATAAAAAAATCAACATTGTGTCCACCGAAATTTCTTTCTACAGCATGACGAATTTTTGACATGATGACGGATCAGATGACAATTTATCTCTAAACTCTCCAGCCTTTACGTTAGTTTATGCTAATTTGCAACTATAAAACAATGGGACCTTATCTATCACTGACCAATTAAGATTTTCAACCGTGATAAACTTTTATTATTCCGTTTTGCAAATCATCACTTTTGACCTGGCTCCCACCCATGTAAACAAATATATTCGCAAACATGTAACAATATCCGCCACACTATGCGCAACATTGTTACGTTACACTGCATCTTAGGCACAATTGGCATTTTAATCAGGGTATGTACAGTATTTTCATCGAATGCTTTGGGTGACAACACACCATTGATCGATCCCCTCTCACAAGAATAGAACTCATCCTCCTCCTACTTACTCATCAATTAAATCCATCAGTAAAGAATTTAATCTTCTCTTCCTCCTCAACTAGCCCGGAACACGAATGAACACAATGGGAATAAGGAAACCGTCAAGTTTTTCTTAAAGTGAAACCATCTGCTGATACTTAAAGTGGAGTAAAGTCTTAAATTTTCCTCTTCTTCACCATCAGATCTCACAGTCAGTTAGTCAGTCAGCAATAAAACGGAAAATCTAACCAACTCGACAACGACCACGACAGAATTGTAACAAGTAATCTAATCTAATTAATTCATTACTACATTTTCAGTCCAGTCTTGTGAATGAAATGCATTAAGATAACACAACTCTTCTTCTTCTCCTTCCTCTTCCTCCATTCTCGAGTGCCCAACCGCACAGTGACCGCGGAAGTGTAGGGACAGAGGGGCAATGTCCCCATCAGCTTTCCACGTTATGTAAACCCCTCCCTCCCCTATTCTACAATGCTAACGTCCCCAGATGTCCCCACGGCTTCCGCGGCCCCTGAAACCGTAATAAACTCGTTACATTATTGCTTATCTGTGCCGTGGTTTAGGTCATGACGGACCGACCGACCGGGTTGAAATAGATACATACAAAACTATGCGAACCCAACTTTTCCGGTTAACCACCACCAAATATCTGTAACACAACTACTCAAAATTTTTCAATTCACTTATCTCTCTTGGCCTTTTGCTTATCCAAATGTGCAGGGTTATTTATCCCCTCGAAAAACTTTACAACTCTAAGCAAATCCATTCCTGGAGCATTTTGGGGAAAGGCAAGGAGGAGAAGGTAATCATCATCCGGGTGGAGGAGGAGATGTATTTATGAGAATGAATTCCAGTCACGAATTTGGTTTACTTACTAAAAACCATCTTCTCCATCTTGTCGGATTAGGATTTAGTTCACATTTCTGTTACCCATTTATTTACTCATGCATCCGTCTCCTCATCCTTCTCTGATCCACCAGCCAATCCAATCGAATCAGGAGACGTACTTAGTTAGTTATATGTACATCAACAGAGAGCTATATTCCATTATTGTGTGTACATAAGTACGTAGCTGGCATTATTAGGCGTGTGTGTGTGTATCTTCATCATATCATATCCATTCGGGTGGAAAATGGGGAAGAATTCAAGAACTTTTCTGGTGAAAGTTGGTGAATTGGATTAAATTTAATTGAATAGTTTACCCCATTTGTTGGAATAAGTTCCCTCGTAAATAGGAGTAAATAGTAGTGGTGTCATACATATGACTGATACCTTATCAGTGATAAGGTACATAGATATCACTGAACTTTCACTAATTTTTAAGATATCATGGTGAAAACAATCACTGTCTATTTTGTTACGAAAACCGTACCTCTAAAAATACAACCCTGCCCACAAAACTTATCAAATGGGCCTTTTTCCTATAAAATTGCACAACTAAAAGATAAGCCATGACTATTCCATTATCTGTGAGGAATAGATACATGTAGACAAATACCAACTTATTTTACACCAAGGGAAACGAACCGAAGGGAAAGTGAGTGATGAGTTGAATCGAGTTTACTTATTTTCACTTTTCCGTATATTTCTTCATCCTTTCCCCACTTCACGACCCATCCGACGCCCATCTCTTTCCTCGGTCGACTTATTTGTTTGCAATCCAGATTCCAGATCTGGGCGAGATGGGGAAAAAAGTACCCAAAAGAAGAAGACACGCATAACGACGATATGTGCCATGTCAGAGAATGATAATGGTCGGGGGTTTACTTACAGGGATGGATAGATTTCACTAGATTAGGTTCGTTACCTACGACGATATTTTTCTGTTTGCCAAAAATAAACAACTTTGGTAGATATGTGTGCATGCAGAATAAATATTCGCGAATAAAATAACAACTGAAATTCAATAAACCTTGGAAGAAGAGATAAGCAAAAACAAATTATGTACGTGCGTCTCATGTGTCATGGTGTGCTGAAATGTTTTCTAAATAGGAATAAATGTCAATTACTGGGTAAAAGGCACAAATTCTCCATAATTGGGAAAAATAATAACTCTAGTTATTTAATTCATGCAGAAAATGTCATTCAATTTAAAACGTTGCAAAATGTGATATTATACTGGAAAAATGGATCACTTGTTTAAACAAAGTTTTTAATTTCCTGAAAAAAAAGAAACACTTAAATCATGTCTCATTTTTATTCGTTTCTCGTCCTACAATCCATCTATTTATTTCTTTAAACATTCCAGTCGTGTATTTCGCTTTCTCTTTTTGCCAAAAGAAAAACAAAGCCTGGACAAAATGAATCATGGCCTAGACAAAATTCACAATGATGATTTTATTATTATACGTACGCAAATGCATCCTTCCTCGATGGATGACTACGTATAATGTATATTTGTACATCTCCCTCTTGTCTCGCAGACCAGACTAGAGTTACTTCATCATCATTTGTCTTCTTCCAACCTTCCCACCTTCTTTTCTCCTTCAGAAACAATTTGCTAACTCGGAACTCGAATTTATTTTCTTGCTCCGAAACTCTTACTTATGACAACTCGAGACGAATTCACTTTCACTTTCCAAGCACAGATTTAAATAGCAGCAGTAGCAATGTTCCATTTTCTATATTTTGAAACCAGGAGGAGGAAACCCAACTAGTCGAATTTTCCCTATGATTTGATTATGCATAATATTACCGACCGTCTTTTATTCTGTTACGTGGTCGCCTTTTCTTAGCGTCCTGTCCTCCCCATTGTTTTGCTTGTTAAAACAATTGCTTCTTCTTCTGGCCAAGAAATCCAGTCACTTTCTGAGACGGTCGTATGTATCGCAATAAAAGGGACGACGATGAGGTGTCTCCTCTTAACTTAATTAATTGGACGAGTCTTCTTCTCCTCTCGTCCTTAAGTCTTCAGCCGTCGTGTAAATTATCTTGTCCGACAAAATGATGCAGTTGCTCCTTATTTCATTCCGGGTAGAATTTGATAGATTAACAAGACACAGAGAATCTCTCCCCTGTTATTTACCTTAGTTTCTTCATTACGCATTCAAATTTTTCCATAATTTCATTTATTATTACTCATAAATTAATTATTATGTTTAAATTATCATCCCTACGAAAAACATTCTTGCACGGACGGACACGCTTTTCCAGGTTTTAAGCACAATTACGAAATAAAAGTGGACCCAGGATTTGAAGTAATTTTACGAGTCATCATATCGCATATCATGCTCGAAAACTTTGTTCCGCAGCGATTTAATTTTGTTATGTCCTTAACATAAAACAGCTTGAAAGCCAAAATTTTAATGGGGATGGTCGCAATAAAAGTGGTTGCTTCACATCATCCTCGTCTCGTCTGATGGGGTTGCGGTTCTCGTAATGTCATGATTTCAAATTCAGAGTTGACTGGATTGAACGTGACGACACGTTAGTTGACTTTATTTTACATACGCACAATGACTCCGACTAACCGCAGGCGTGCAGTTGGTTTGCTACTGCTGCTGCTCGGCCATGAAATGAGGATGATATTATTTTCATGGCTAAATTTTCATTTAAAGTGTTCCACCCTGACTTTCGTGAGTGAGGGGATCGTTTAGATTCCGAGAGGAGAATGCAGGCCAGGAAAAAGAAAAAGGACCCCGATGGATACTTTCACAAGAAGGAAAAGGGAAAAGAAAGTGCTTAAACGGGAAGAAAGAGATGAAAGTTCTTTGGTTTTAGTTCAGTCTTTTCGGATGCAAAATACGTATCAATTCAAATTCAAAAACAGTTGAATTTTGATTTTGGTAAAACTAGTCAATTGTAGATTTTAAGAAAACTGTGTAATAAAAGGGGAAAAAATTTGATTTTTTTAAATTCTGTGTCGAGAAAAACTTCACTTTCAAATTATAATCCATCCATGCACAACTAGACACGAGTGAGCCAAAAATTTGTCTAAAATGATATTTACTTTTAATTAAAACTTCTTCCTCGTACTTAAACCCGTGCAAACAAACTCTTGCTGTTATAAACTTTTTACCAAGTTAATTAACTTTGCGGTTGCGGTAAGTACACATTGAACTTTAATGGTAACGTGTACGCTTATAAAGGATTTATAAAATAAAATACAAATGTTAAATTTTAAATTTTCAGAAACTTTATTTTTATTTCTTTCAGAAATCAAATCCTACCTACCGGTCATAAATGGCATAACTCACAACAATACAAGAAATTCACTATGGCGTTCCAGTCACACGTCGTGTTCTTGCTCATGTGTGGATTAAGCAGTGGTTTCGTCCACGCCGGTGATCAAGGATTCGGAACGAGAAATTTTGCCGGAGCTTTTGGAACTCAAGGTAAAATTATTTTTAAAAAATGTTTGGAATTCTAATAATACTGATAAAAATAACGGCATCCCGTCCCCTGACCGAGTTTAAGGCGATTTTGTATCTTGGCGTATCAGAATTTGTCACGTTGTCATTTTATAAAACCGACTCATAAAATTCTTGACCATACCATTTTAGGTGAGGATGATTTTTATTTGTGTCGTCCTAATTTCAACCCATTCTTTACTTCCTGTACGCATTTATGTAAAGAAAGAGTCCGGTCTATTCGATCATGCACTATGTCTCATCGTCAGCGTCCCACCATAAATGGCGTGAGACCAAAGAATCCCGTCTCATTAAAGGAAGAAGAGGATGCTCCTGAATGAAATTTACTACTACGTACATACATGCGTAATATGAATCTGTAGTCTGCCTGTAAAAATAATCATACGAGTGAGTAATGCACACGTCATATTTTGTAGGCCATACATTTTCCTTGAACTTTTTTTTATTAAATTCAAGTTCAGCATCATTTTTACATAACCGGAGTGCTTACTACTGTAAAGTTTAAGATTTGTGGATGAAGATTTTATCTAAAGATGAGCTGTTTCATAATCTCGTATAAATATTTACAAAATTTGTACATATTTTCTCCACTGCTAAAAATCGTAGGTCACGCATACAAAATGTATAAACAAGTGACGTGCATATCCCCAATTTGTTTTTTAAACACTTATCGCTCGCACTTATGTAATCGGTGTTTCTGAATTTTGAATTTTATCCTCACTTACTGGAAGATCTTCCCTGTACATAAAATGTAGGATTCGAGACGAGAAGTTTTTTCAAAAAAATGTGGGAGATCTCCTCTCGGTTACACCATTTTCTAATTTTCTCACCCATATTTCATTCACCAGGCCGATTAAGCACAAATGGTGAATGGGGAAAGGTTAGGTTGTGTGCATGCGTTGCATTATTATTAATGAGTAAATTGCTTACATTCAAGAAAAGGCTGGTCGTCGTTTGAATAACAACTCGGAAAACGGAGCCAGAAATCGGTAGCATGTTTAAGTAGCTGTTCCAATAAAGATTCTGGTAGAATTATAGAACAGATTACATATTTCATTCTTTCTTTAAGTGCACGTGGCTTGGGTGGCAATTAACACGACGACTAAACCACATCTCCTCTCATACCGGACTAATATTCATGTTGATAACTTAATTGAACTCATATTTTATAAGGGAAAAAGGAGTCGGAGAGCCGTTTATTTTTTCATGATAAAAAGTTCATCCTTCTAGAAATTGTTCGTAGTTGAATATTTATGAAAAGCCTTAAAATATGGAAATCTTGCACTTTTATTATTAAGATTTCTATTATAATTTATATTTAGTAATATTATTGGAAGGATTGGGTACATGTCTCGATTTTAAAAATAAGGTTCAAAATTTTCCTGAAAATTTACACAAACTCGAAAACCTAAACAACTAAGGAAAACTCTGTCAGGTTATGCACGTGATCATGATGATCATATCACTACTACTTGATACTTGTGTACACGAGGTGACACCCAAAAAACCCGCACCCACCCAAGTCGAAACTTTCTCATAAATTCCCTTCTTCCTCTTCTCAACTCTGCAGTTGAGCTGGACATTTGTGTCACTTTCGAACAAAATAAATCGGCAATTAGCACTTAAACAAATCTTTAAATCTTCCTCTCCACACAATTCCATGCACCCTGTCGAGTCTCCGGCAACACGCATATCTTCATAGTTTTGTACTTTTGTCCCTTCTCTCTGCGCAGGGAAAAATATAAAATTTTGATTCATTATTTTGAAACCCTTCCCATTTCATAATTTATTTATGCCAGTCAAGAACAGAACGTGGTGTTAGCATCGCTCCCTCCATCCATTCACCCTCCCGTTTACTGGACAATTCAACAATTGCATTGTCAATGTTCTGCTCATTATTCTACGAGTTGAGAATTTGTGAGCAATTTTCTCACCCCGTGAAACCAAGGATGACAGAGATCTCAAATCAGATCTTTGTTATTTGTCAAACTTTAAAAAGTATTCGTAAATTTTCTTCCCTACTTTCCTGACGATAACCACAAACCTACCGATGCACAAATTTATTTGCAAATTCCACAAAATTAAAAGTAGTGGCTTCGAAATATCGCATATTAAACAACCCAATTCACTTAATTATCTTGCTATTATTATCATAAATTACAATTATCGAAGAAACCCGACGACCCACTTCTTCAAAAACAGTGTCAAACTTTACTCATTAGCAGAGATTGTATGTATGTCCGAGGTCCTACACGTTGCTCACGTTACACAAAAAGACTGTTAACACAGTATCATCGTCATCAGTATCATTTCACTAAACTCTGGGTCGCACCATCTCGGAATCCTAATCACAAAATAATTTCAAAGGGTTATTTAATTACATAACAAAACTTACCCCAGGACGAGCGCAGACAAAGTTTGGCTTTTCCTCGGAAAATGGATATCCTTGCAGGACGCCCATTCATGAAATAATCTACGACTTTCTTCCCCTGTCGGGGTTGTCCTTTTCATCTTCATCTTATTATAAGCAAGCAGTACACACAATGCACGGGCAATAACACAGCGGAGGAAAATGGATGAGAGAAACACTTTGAAGAGCAACCCAACCAAACTTAATCTAATCTTGAGTAGTCGTCGTGGTGGTAAAATAATCTTCATCTCAAACAACAAGAAGGTCTGGAGAAGAAGAAGATCTACCGCAGTCTGGGTCAACTTTTGGGGTTCAGAATCCTTCTTAACGAATCACAAATTTATAAATAACAGTGTCAAATTCAGTTAAAAAACTGGCAAAATTATTCATACGATTAGAATTATATTATCGGGGTCGATTTATTCAGGTTTTTGAGCAAAGTTAGAGTATTTAAAAAATATCAAAATTTCATCAAATTATAAGTTCTAAATACTGTATTGGATATTTGGAAGATTTTTTGCATAATTAGGATATTTATTCCCTGCAAGCAACTGTCGTTAAATCTTTTTTAATTAGAAAAAGTATAATAAAATCTTAACTTCAATTACTGACGTTTTCATGATACATTTTCTTAACACAAATTTTTAAATAAAAAAAATTGTAATTTCTTCCCAAATTTTCAGCACAACTTTTTAACAAATAATTTTGAATTATGCACTATTTTCATAAAGGTTTTCATAATAAAAATGTGTGACGATAATAAAAAAAATAGTAATTAAGAAAATCAGTTTTATGTAAAGAAAAAAATGTGATAAATCGTCCACCCCAACAAACGTCTCTTTCTTCACACCTCTCTTTCTCCCCTCATTTAGTAGTAACCCTTCCTGATCTGCTTTTCCAGTTACAGACAAATAACTCGTCTCTGCACATTCCATGACACATTAGTCAGCCCTGCCCTTCAATCCACCCTTCCACACATTCCTCCTCTTCTTTTCACGCAGTAAAACAATTATAAACTTTTATTAGCACTGCAAGCAAAACTTAAAACTGCGAAGGCACGCAGCATCATCACATCACAAGTTCTGCCTACTTAATAAATAACTTATGCGTTTCACTAGCTTTTTAAGATTTCTGCTTCTGCCAGCAATTTCAACCTCAGCTTTGCTTTGTTATTAGACAGGAATTTAGAAAATAATAAAAAAAACTGGGGGATGATGATATAATGTGTAAAAGCGTACGCATCATCTCACTTCCAGTCTGTGGAACCACCAAGCTTTGTAATCATGTCATAACCGAGGCGTCCGTCATAAATAATATTTTTACTGTTTTTCTTAACCATCCATTTCATTTGCACGCACACACAGCACCACTTCCACCACCACCGGGGTCGGACGTATCCTTACTTATGGATGTATTATTAAATGAGTATTCGGCTTAAAAGTGACTCCCATAATTTCCAGATGAGACCAGAGAGATCACACAATTCCTACGAAAAGGGTTGACGAGAATGAGACAAGAGTCTAAATCTGACTCTGTGTCACATTACGCTAGAATTTGTCAATTCATTCATTCATGACGGAGAAAAAAGTGTGTTTGTTGTCACCTCACTTAACTTAAAAAGTCACACATGAGTGTCACCACACGCATTATTTTCAGGGTGACATGATCTCTTATAAGTATGTAAGTAGTTTGGTGGGGCGTGTGACGTTGAGTGAAATCATGTTACCCAAGGGAATTTAAAAAATAAACTTGCGTATGTAAAAATGGGTGCCCATTATTATTACTTGTTTACTGTTAATCGTGAATTTATAGTTGATAAATTGTTTTCCAGATGCCATCGAGGAACACGATCTACTGCAGGCCATTCGGGTACCGTTTGACGATCCGAGAACGCAATATTTCGAAGCTGGTTTGGATGGATTTCCTGCCTATGGGTTGAGAGAGGGGGCGGATATCAAGTCTCACTATAGGTGAGAAATTAGTTAATTGTTGAAAAAATAAGTAGTTGCACAGGTTGCACTTTCTGCGAGTTTCCATAAACTTGCGCGAATTAACTGGATGGTGATTAATACATGTAAAGATTTTATATTTTGGGATGAAATTGTCTTTAGCAATTTGTCAATGAATTATGTATGACTTTCTAGCTGGAATATTGCACTATGTGTAATTCGATAGTTTATAACTACAATTTGAACCGTATTTACTGCATTAAATACTTGTAGGTTATTTGTAATTCTAATTCTATGTACGCCATGACTAATAAAATTTAATAAGTTTGACGCCGTAAATTTCAGAGTTGCATGTTACATTTATACGTAAATTTAGAATTTGTTGATAGATAGACCTCCTCCGTAAATTTTATATCCACGTTATATGATATAACTTATATCCATGTTATTTTGGTTTTTCAGGCTTTTCCTACCCGACCGACTCTACCGAGATTTTGCACTGTTGGCCACCCTAAAACCGGATGGGCGTAGAGAGACGTCCTATCTTTTCGCCGTGGTCAATCCGCTCGACACTCTGGTCCAGTTTGGCCTCAAGGTAGCAGCAAATTCCTCAAAGAAAACCAATTTATCTAGTAAATATATTTATACAGATTGGCTAAATATTCGCTATTTTATGCAATATTCGCGAAATCGTGATAAAATAAAATAAAATAACGTAAATATAGCCTATGGTCGAAAAAAGCAGACAATCTTTTTCTAAATTAAATCACGAATTTGAAAAGGGCTTCAAGCCGTAAAAATGACCACAAACGGCTCAACAACGTCAACAATGAAACCCAGCCAGACCGACCCACACATCAATAATTCTTCCAACATAATAACTTTTTCCAACCCATTCCAATACAATGTCAAACCACCAGGAGTGACTAGAATCTAGAAATTGTATGATAAGGAAAAAGTTGTGAATTCGCAACAGGTTTTCATTTTTGTTACGAAGAAGAACTGCATAATAAAACTTTGACCCTGAAAAGTCTCTCCGCAAATTGAAAACCTGACATAATTTTATTACCCATCATTCACTTTTTTTAGGGTTGAATGGAGTTTAAATTAACAAAAGTTACTTATGTAACAGCAAGAAAGGAACAAATTTACTAGACAGAATTTTGCACGAAATAATCTGTAATTGTGCCTAAAAGCTATAATTATAAAGAAGCATAAAAGCGTACCATAATTTAAAATCATTCAGTAAATTGTAAAAAAAAGTTTGAGGTCCAGAATGAATATAATTTGACGTCTATTTCGGGAAGGTTCGCATAAATTAAGAACTGGCAGAATATTGACAGAAAAATAAGAGACCTAATTCTGTTATTGAAGAAGCTGAGATAAAATTAGAAAATTATTACGGATTCTTTATTATCAATCAACTTTCTTCCTTTTTTCTCGCCCAGATAAAAGACTGGCTTGATTTCCATTTCCACCTAAAATTAATCAATTTTTCGTGGGCCAATCTCATACCAAATTAAATATCATTCTTTTTCCACCGGCTTCTTTTCAACATTCTGAAAGAAATGTGTCACAAAATAAACCGTTCGGGTCGACATACACCCAAATTTATTGGCGAGAAGAACAAAACAACAATTTTGATTGTTTTTCGACTTAATTGCTAATTAAATTACTTATTTGTCGTCCACAGATCTCACCCAGCGTCGTGGCATCATCACCGCATCACACCATCTCCCTTTTGTACACGGACGGTAATAAATAAATAAATAATATGGGAAAATAAGATTGGGAAATATTTCCGGAAATGATTTTCAACATTATTTATCATAGTTGGAAGCCATCTCGTCACTCAGACCATCGTGGCGTTCGAAGTCCCATTAATGACGAGGAGGTGGAACCGTTTCGCGTTAAAGGTTTGATTTGATCCAGTTCTGCCGTTTTTTGAATCTTCTTGTTCAAATATTGGCAAAAATATTAAAATTTGCACTATCGGATTTGCACATTATCACTCCAAATCTCACACATTTCTTAAAATAGAAGACATATAAATTCTAAAATAAGTCCACCCAAACATATCCCTGAATTCAAATCCAGCCAGCCAACTGACCCAGCCAGCCACCTCCACCTCTTTCATGTCATTGAAGCATTAAATTTAATCCGATGGCATCATTATGCTCCACACACGCCACGTAGCATAACACAATCTCACAGTTTGAGTACCCTTTCTGAATCCATGATTCGATAATATTCAATTCAACACGAAGGAAGAACACTCGGATTTGGATTTCATTTTCATTTTCATTTCGTCTCATGTTCAATCATGACTCGCTAATGATACTGATCAGGAATCCGTCCACACACGCGAACCGTTTGTTCATTTGGAGGACGAATTCCATCCACTTTGCTTTACACAAAACTGGAAATTCATCCAGTGCAGATTGAATTTAATTACATACCAGACCAGTGACCAGACTCGCTCCAATTTACTATTGTTGATCTGCTGCTGCATCTCTCTCGTCCCCTCCTCCGATTTATACGATTACAATTATGCATGCGGACAGAGAGAGCGGTCATTATTGTGATTATTATTCAAAAACAAGACCCAGGTCTGATGTTTTCATCCAATTATCTCATTTTATAGATAGATTATAGGTAGGGATTTTTATAGGTAGATAGATGCACACGGTTTCATAATTCCTTTGAAATTTAAGCCGATCTGTGTTGGTAATCGATGAAACCCAAAATTACTTATGTAACAGGGTGATGCTGGCTAATTGATTAAGCTCACGATTGGGAGGGTATTCGATTTTACGAGGGTGAGGTAACATGTGTATGAGGATGCGCTAAGCTGGCAATTTTGGTTACGAGATTATGCAACAATTAGGAAAAAGACGGGATAATTATCGAGATACGAATTTATGCCGAGACCCACCTTGCAAATTAGTGCGAGTAAATCAGGAGAAATCTATAATTATGAATCACTAACTAACGATGTAATTTTTTTAATCTGAAAAACTTTTTTTTTTAGAAATCATTATAATTTGTCTGTCATTTTTTGCATAATCGCAATTTACAGGTCGTCGGAGATAATATTACGCTCTTTCTAAACTGCAAGGAACACAGTTCTCAAACGGCGTACCGAAACCCTAAAGAACTCGGTTTTGATTCTGCATCAACCTTATACATTGGACAGGCTGGACCCATTTTGAAGGGAAATTTTCAGGTAGGTGAAACTCTTGCTATTTCAGTTCTTATGTGGATGTCTCATCTTTCCCAAAGGCATAAAACAAATTCCTATTCTTCGGCCGACAATGATTTTACGACAAATTCCTTTAATGAGATTGGAAATTTAATGATGGTAAAGTTTTGAACAAAATTTGTGATAAATTAATTATTTTGGTGCTACAAATGAGTAATAATAGCCAACATCTAAAAAAATGGACATTAGATAACTAATGTTAAATGCAAGATGGCCTAATTGCCAGCAATTAAAGAAATTTGCATTAAAAGAAATTGCATGCAAGACGTCCACAAGGACTTAAGTTTTAAAAAATAACAAAAATCCAGTAGCTATGTTATAAATTTATTTTACGAATGCTGCCTGACTTTAAAGCTCACCACTTTGTCTGGCATCTGTCGGATTTCAGCGTGACAATTCTACCCGACTTTCCGGGAGAAAGTCCATTTTTACTCCGTTTCTTGGGGAGAATGTGCTCCCGTCGGTTTTGGGCAGAGTTGGAAAGTCAGAAGTCAAAACTCGACAAATCTCGAACTTCCCCTTCGCCTTCCTCTCGAAGTCGCACGATTACACGACTTCTGTCTCGTCTCACGTCAAGGAAAAGCGATTTTCTAAAGTCTCCAACTCTCTGCAGTTGCACATCTCTCTCTCCATACATAAATTGAATATATAATAAAAAAAGAGATTTCTAATGTGAAAACTTTTAGTAATTTAATATCAAAACTTTAGTTAAAAACGAATAAAAGTTAACTTTTGAATCCGGAGGAGCCAATAAAAATAACGGGGAAAAAGCTCATCTCATTTTTTGCGACAAATTGTATCCACAAAAGTGTCGTGATAGCATTTTACTCAGCTTTCACATATTTATTGAGGTTAGTAAGTAAAAAAACGGTGCTTTATTAAAGTTTGGACATTTTTTTCTCATTTCAAATAATGAGAATTTGTTAAACGAGATATTTGGAGAGTAATAACGTCATTAAAGTTACAATAAATGTATACGCGAACTTAAATTGTTCCATTATTCAATATAATGTAATACACATTTTCATTCTCTAAATTTAACAAGCACATTGAAATTGTTGTTACAAAATCTCATGTTTTTATGTACGTTTGATATTCATTTCACAAAGTAATTGAAAATTTCCAGAAATCAATTCCGATAAACTGCTGTACTCCTCCAGAAATATTAGTCTTAATTTTATCACTATTCATGAAAATTTGAACGTTTTATGGCATGAAACCCACCTCCTAATTAATTCTCTCACATCACGAAATTAATCTGGATATGTTCCACTCACAAAGTCGTAAAAGTAAATTACACAATCCACATACCCGTATTTTCAGACTAATTACTTACTTTACCAGCTCATACGTACGTACTCGTATATAAATATTTTACTACATTTCTGCCTAATTTTGCACAGAAGTGGAGACGATCACAACTTGAACCAAATCCAATCCAGACACTTATTAATGTAATCGTGTTTCCACTACCAATCATCATCACGGCCCGATTCGTCATGAAAATGGTGCTTGCTAGCCCTCATTTCTTGCAAAATTGATTAAATAAGCGAAATTCTATCCAAATCTTGCATTTCTCAGACTCCACGTAGTCTAGAATTATTAGGCGAGAGAAAACTAAATGAAGCAGCAGCGACAACAACTTGTTGTCCTCCTTCGAGCAAAACAATGTCATTCTTCTTCTCATCCGTCCTCATATAATTACAGGAAAGTCAACTTACTTAACTAAAGTAAACTCCCAGCTCAATAAATGACCCACTTTCTTCTTCTTCTCCTGGTGAAAGTTGTGCCTCTTTATTCCACTCAGCTCAATCGTGTCGTCGCTCACTTGCAAATTCCAACTTGTAATTGGAGAAAGTTGCAAAATTATCCGAAATACAATACAGGCTGCACAAAATCCATCCTTTAGAAATTTAAGGCCTTTAAATTCTGCTCAATTTACAACTCACTCACTCATTTCTTTTCATTATTTAATTGTCAAATCGTGCATTTTCCTTCAAGTTTTAAAACGTGAACAACTTTTGCTCGTAAACTTACTCGTTCAAATTGCAGACATGAATTAATTTAGTATGCACTTTAGTCCTCGTTTGTTCATTAATAGGAAAATCTGTGCAACAAATCACGGAAATTTATTCCCTGTACTTAAGCATTGTCTCTTCTTCTCACGTGCCACGCATGCAGCCGGGGTGGAATTATCTACTTAATTTGCATAATTTATATCATTTTAGATGCGTAAAACCTATAAAACAATTAATCTTCCTAATTTTACGCGCACACATATTTCTTTTCTTCTCTTGGTCCTCGTCTTAATAAGTGAAAGAAGACTGAAAAAGCAACAAACCGAGAGAAGAAGAGGCGAAAACCCCATTTTCTCCGTCGACTCATAAATTACACCCGTTTAAAAACAACTTGTCACTAATTAGCTTCATAAGAGGAGCATGTTCATTCAATGAAAATGCAGTATTCGTTCGTATAATATTTCACCGCATCGGGTGGGTCGGTTGGAAAAAATTGTTATTAAAAATATAATCGCATGCTCACTATTTTTCCCCCCAGAACTCGTGCTGAGTTTCGTTTACAAATTTTAGAGCGATGTTTATAACTTTATTATTATTAAAAGTATGATGCTTTTCTATTTAAGGAGTCGTTTTTATCACGCAATAATGATATTTACTGGGTCGTAATTTTTAACGGCATTAATAAAAGAGGGGAACAATACATTGAGATGTACTTACATATTTTCAGTTATTTAAGGTACCCACGCACCGCGTGGGCACATTAAACCCTTCAAATTCCCAAGTTCGACTGAAAATCGGGACTAAATATATCTACTTACAACTTCTTCTAATCCCTTCTCTTTGGTTCATTTAACTTGCAAAATAATATCGTAATCGGTTTTCCATTTGAAGAAATGATTTAATTAGAAACATCCCCCCATCAAAAATCCTTCGCTTTGTTCTTCTCCACCAAAATAAATATGTCATTTCGATCTCCAGACGAATAAATCCTGCTCCAGCCTACGTAACGTAACAAGTTTCCCAAATTAAGTCTTTATTCTCCATACTGAATGATTTCTAGCCTGCTCGTTCTACTTTTGGTTTCTAGTCTGATTCCAATTCCGATATTGTTTGACTTACAAGAGAAGAAGCAGAGAGAAGAAGAAGTTCAGAATTTAAGAGAATTTAGACTTTAAGCTCACGCAACCCCGGTTCAAAAGCCTTCTCCATATTTTATGTAGCTACGTACGTACGTATTCCCTGCACCGATGTATTCATCATACTCAAAGTTTTTGGAAAGAAGATTGTGGTTTTGGTTTGGTTGGGATTTTCCTTGTGTGTCTTTTCCCTTCTTCTTCTTTTCTTCCTTCTCTCCTCGGTCGGTGTGTCACAACCTTCACGGAAATAGATTGATTTATAGTAACGTTTCCAATTTTAGATTTAGTCCGGTTTCTGATTACAGGAGGAGGAGTACCACATTTTAAGTCTTTCTTTTGCGTGGGGTTCGAATTCACGCGTTATTTTGCGAATCTGTTTGTATGAAAAGATAAAGAACTGCGTAAGGCATGGCGTTTACATATTTTATTAATTTCAAAAACGAAATTTTCGACCCAGGCCAAAAAACATGCCTCTCTCGTTTCTTGTGAAATTAGTTTTTTTGACAATCCAAAAGTTTCAAATTTCTCTCCCCTTTTTAGAAAATCCGACCCACAATTACTTAAATGGTTGCAAATTGCTGACTATACAAACACAAAAAGAGATTCCACTCCTCTCGTCTCAATTTCCCATCTCAACGGCATCCCATCAGCATTATCATTCCCACTCTGTAGCAAATGAAGCATAAAATTCACTTAATCATTTCAACTTTCTTCTCCCTTCTTCCAAGAAGTTAATGGCAAGTGGAGAAAAAAACTTGTAGACTGACATGACACATGACACACATGAGGACAATCTCATAAAACTGGATCAAACTCTTACTCAAGTTTATGTAGTTGAAATCTGTGGTTTTTGGTGGAACGCGTCATTTCAATCCACTTCACCACTGATGATCCGAAATCCGGGCAGATTTCTCCCCTCACTTTCTCCATCGTCGTCTTCTTTTCGCAGGGTGACTTGCGTGTCGTGCGTGTAATAAATATTTTATCTTTTGCTCAATTTGATCTTGATGACGGAGCAGATATCGGCACCACCACGTTGATTTTTATCTCGCGTTTTTTTTTCTTTCGGGGAAGCGGAAGTGCTCGAGAGTCATAATGGTAATGTGGGTCGTAGTCGGGAAACATACTCCCATTTCCGGTTAGTTAATCAGAAAAAGGACGGTGTAACTGGGAAGGGTATCAATTTCTAGTACTATTACGCTATTAGCCAGGTACGTGACCAGATTTCGGAGCGCGACTTATTTCCATCCAGGTATTACACAAAGCCCGGCTAATTTCAATTTGTTCAAAGGGAACAATAAAAAGTGGTGCACTTTTTTTATTCGATATGGTTCAAAAACCTGAAAAAAATTGCATAACTTTTACAAAAACTGTCTCAAATCTCAAAATCAAGCCCTATATACTTTCTCCCATAATTTATTTAAGCTTGTCTTAAAAAACTTTGATCTTTGTCGTAATAATATCGGCGACATCGTACGAATTACCAAATCTACGGAAAAAAAAATCTTCAAAAAAATCTGGCCGGTGTTCTGTCCATCCAAATCTTATATACGATCAACATTATTACCAAGGCAGAAATAATTTCACTTTCACTGCCCCCAAGTTCACTTCATTTTCCTTGTTTCGCTCGGAATCCAAGACGTCCGTACGTGAGATGTGTTTCAAGATAATGGATGAATCTGCACCACCATTACTGCCACTGACTGGTACCTACTCACCATTAGTATCGGTCCGTCGTGGTGGGTAGTGGTTGGTGGTGCAGAATAAATATTATTGGCCACGCCACGCCACACCGCAGCCAAGTCCCACC